TTTTACATGTTGTATACTTACTATAAATTAATTTCTTTTCCATTTTTTTCCTCTAATCCATTGATTTAGAACAGTTTACTTCATATTTCAGTTTTCTTAACAATGCCTCTGCTTCACAAGGTATTCATAATGCTGAAAAAAAGAATTCCTGCCAAATTTTGGAATTCAATATTACTTCCTAAAATCATCAAGTATTTATCTTATTAGTGGCTTCTATTTTCACACTGTTTAATTAAAGACTTACTGGAAGTCTGTTGCTTCTTTCTTCAGACATTTGCTTGAACTGTAGCAGCTTTCCTTTGATCTCTAGAAACTCAGAATGTGGAACAATATAGAAGAAGATAAAAAGGGTCACCTGTGATTTTTCTTAATCTGTTACTTTTTTTTTAATAAGAAGCCAGGTCATCAGTCTTGAGATCCATCTCATCTAATGGTGCAAGATGAGATACATTTTCCAGCTGAAAAAGCCATATGCAGTTGGAATCAGCCCTTGCAGGACTCGGCTGTATCCAGCTAGTGTCATAGACATGTGTGAGAATGTTCAATTTGGAGACCAAGAACATAAGTGAAACCACTTTATTTTGACTGCTCTGTTGGAAACGCTGAGGTTTTTTTTTTTTGGTTTTTTTTTGGTGTTTATAGCTTTCTAAACTGAAAGGGAGTGACCAGTTAAGAGCTTTGCTGATAGACTTGAATGCATTGACAAGGCCAAATTGCAGTTCTCAAAGCGTAACGACATTTCATATTTATTACTGGTTTTGTTAACTGGTAAAGTTTGCTTATTCTTTCTGAGTTTAGCATGTGATATACAGCAACACCTAAGAATTCTTATGTATGCTTCAGATATTTAATTGCTTTATCAGCTGTCTGTCTCTGAAAAGTGGGGAACTCATTTCAAAGTTAAAGCACAGAATATTGCAAGCACCATTGCCAAGTGCACATCCAAAGCTATTAATCCTTGCACTATTTGAAGTCCTGTATGTCTTGGATGTTAGAAGATTTTGAGCAGAGAACTCAGATACTTTGTGTGATCATACGATGGTTGCAGTGGTGGAAGTGGAAAGCCATCGTAACTTCAGAGAAGGGATGATCCCATTCAATTTTCATCTCTTGATGCATATTATTTTAAAAAGACCTGTTTCAACTCTACACAGCATAATGGGGGATTTATAAATAGAAATTAAATCCCATTAGACAGTAGTAAGGGATGAAGTACATTCTTAGAAGCTTGCGTACATTTAAGAATTGTTAAATGTCTTATGCTGTCATGGGCATGGTCCCTACATATGCAATCTCAACATGATGGACAGATTGTACTTGTCTGGTTTGAGATGTTTCTGGTAGAAATAGATTATTACATTACCTTCTGATGAAATACTTGTTTCTGTTTAAGGTTATCTTATTTTAGATACCTTTTATTTGATCTTTGGAGAATCTGTGAACTAAAGCAGGGACTGGACTGTTCTCATGAGATGAGCATGGGTGTGTTTACTTTAATATTAAATCTTGACAGAAGAACAAACCATTCAAACTCACCGATGCACCAGGAGTGCAGCAGTGTCTGTCTCACTAATTGCACTGCCATTCTGTAAAGATGATTTAGGAGGGTAGCTTAATGGTACCTGTTTCTGAATGGTTGTCTCAGTCTAATTTGTCTCCCTTCAGTTTGAAAGCAGATCATTATATACAACTTCTCTTTTATTTGCCTAACTCTTTCCCAAGTGTACACAAATTGCAAAACATTCTCCCTCACTGAAGTGAGTTTAGGAATTACTGTGGATATTGCTTGAGAGCCAGAAAGACTATCAATGGGGACTTTGTACTTTTAACCACTGACTGCTATTCTTTGAGCCCAGTTTTCCATCTGCCTTGTAATCTTCCCATCCAGTCTGCATTTCTCCAGTTTGGCTGGCCGGATACCTGTGGAGATTGTGTCAAAGTCGAAGTAAATGACATTCACCACCTTCCCCTTGTATGCAAAGCCAGTAATACAGTGAATTACAGAAGGCAGCAGGGTTGGTCAGACACAGTCTGGCCTTGGTAAGTTTGTGCTGGCTGTTGCAAATCACATTTGTCATGTGCATATGTGGGACCGTCTGTTCCTGGTGACCAAGGTTAGGCTGAACAGCTTGCAGTTTCCTGGATGCTCTTTCTTGCCCTTACTCAAGCAGTTTTACTGAGATATTTTGCTGTTCTCACATGACAAACTAATCTTGCCTCTCTGGCAGTTCTCTTATGCTTATCTATATACTGAAGAGATAGTGCTTTACTGGATTTTCAGTATCTACATGTTACAGGTAGGAAGTAGGATATTGCAATTGAAGCATAGCATTGAGGAGGGCAGCCCTTCTTGAGGCTTTATGGTGCATACTCAGAGGTGCAGGAGAAAAAGTGGTAGCCTTCAAGTTGAAAAATACTCATTTTTAGTTACATATATGTTTTATATATTTGGATACTGTCTTCATATCTATGTACTTTTTCTCTAAGCCGGATGACTCCTATTTAATCAGGCTTTTTTCCTGGGTAACATACTCTGTACCTCTAGTCATTGACTTTGCTTTTTTCCCTAGATTTTACCAGTTGGTCTACTTTATAGTGCTCTATGCACTGGTTTATTAGTGATAAGAGATCTTTGTGGAAGTGAGGACTAGTACATAAAAGGACTGGGTGCCAACTCTTCAGACTTACAGTAGAGAAAGCAACAATATTGAAACGTACCTAAAATATGTTGGTGATTCTGAGACTCATAGATTAGTTTACAACTTAAGAGTTGGAAGTACATGGTGGTTTCAAATTTACTCTGTTAGTATATTTGCAGACCTTGCTAGCTGTCTAAATACTACTATCTTTAAGCAGTTTTGTCCTTAAAAAATAACCATATGCTGAATCAGAGAAGGAGGTAAGACAAAATGAGCTATGAAAACATCTAAGCCAATGTTAGAGAATACTGAGGTAAAGACTTGCTCTTTCAACTGCTTGGACTATGGCAAGTAAGATAATAGTTAGCACAGGAGGAGGATTTTAGTATCTGACTACCTATTTTATTCTACAGATATAAAAAACCCATGCAAATACCAATTTAATACTGCTTGGGTTTTGTTTTTTTTCACATTAATTCAAAACTGCCTTATTCTAATACAATAGAAATTATACTTTCTTACCATCAGTTATTTCATATTCTTCTTTTAAATCTGACTCCTGTTCTCCCAAAGTATTTCAAAACATCCCCAGATGGATAGTCACACAGAAAATCAATCCAAAAGGTATGCACTGAAAAAAACAAAATTATGTATTCTGATGTAATACATAGTGGTCACAGCTAAGAAACAGTTTTTAAAATGACTGCTACAATGTGAGATTGTTACTGCAATCTGGGTACACATCAATCCATGTAGCAGATGATCTGTGCACTTGGTAATGAATGATAACATCGTGGATTGTAAAGTATAGTATCTTCACTCTTCTCTAAGAAGCAAATGCGGTTGTAGTTCTAGATGCTGTTTTTCATTATGCCTTTGATTTTTTGATTCTTCAACAATCCATTGATATTTGTAGACAAGAAGTGGATTAAGGGAGTGGTTGCTGCTAAACACTGCCTGCCACTGAATAGGTAATGGCAGTGGTAATGCTAAGCACTGCCTGCCAATGAACATGTTCTTAAGAAACTTGTTGCATTGAGGTCTGCAGTCTTTAATACTGATCACTTCAACCTATTTATAATTTGTGGGCAGAGCCAGACCAACAGCATCTGAATTCCTCACCTGCTTAAGTTCTTAGTATCTTGTTGACCTTCCCCTACTGGGGAGCTGTTGTTGAAGTCCGTGTTTTTATTCAGCTGATCAGCTCTAAAGTATAACTACCTTATACATGGCCATGTCCGAAAACCACATTTCTTTTTTGGTGTTTGCATTAGCTGGTGCTCTTTGAAGGCATAAAGGGGAGTTGGACCTAGAAAACTTGGGAGACTTTTGCTCCCCACAGTCTTCTACACACCTTTATTTAATATCTTTATGCAGAAACTGTCAGGTTCTTAGACCAAGGTACAGTTTTCTGCATAGCCCAGCCTGGGTGGAGTTGCCTTGGACCTGTTTCCTTGGACAGGAGAAGGAGCCAGGATTGGAAAGACCAGCTCTTCTGGGCAAGATGCAGTCACTGTCTCATCAGCTCTGTCCAGGTGGAGTTGCATCAGCCCAGAAAAAGACATGCCAGGCCAGTCTGGAAAAAAAACAACGACAAACAACTAGCTCTGAGAGTAAAGCCAGGGGAACAATGCCCTGGAGATCGCAGTTACGTCAGATCCAAATCAAGCTTTATCCTAATGCAAATAAGTGATCCATAATCTAAATTGAAATAAGGGTTTGAGGTTGTTTTATTAACGAGAGTTTTTTCATGGACAAATAATGTCCTTTTAAGTTTTGTGGTTTGTGTGCTGTTGATTTGAAAAGTAGTATCTATCAAAAATGGTTCAACTTGAAGGACTTTCAGGGGGCATTAAGCATTGAAAATAATGGATAGGCTTTGTTCTGTCTCTATCCTTCAAAAATGTTGATTTATTTGGTGTTGAGTTTTATTTAAATTAAATTTTTAGCACACGTATTTGAGCTCTAAACACAACTAGGTTTACTGACTGGTCAAAGAAAGGAGTGGAATTTTCTAAGATTTAAAAGAAAAATTAAATGATATCTTATGACAGGAGCCAGGGACAGGTTGTTCAAACTCTGTCCAAAGACGTTTTCAGAAGTTTAACTCCTGTTCTCTTGTCCATCAGAGCTGCAGACTTGGTTATTCTCAAACAACAGTTTTCTATCTTGTTTTCAGTTTTGCTTGCCATTTTAACAAATAATGGGGACATGAGCTGCAGAATGAAAGCTGGAAATGGGGGTTGGACCACTGATGTGGGATCTTCAGTTTAAATCCAGGCTCTTTTCAGCTTTGTTACTGAAAATAAGGATAGTTACTGTTATTTAGTCCAATTAAAAAAAAAAAAAATTTAAAGCAACATGTGGAAGGAGCCTTCTGAGGGAGATAGTGAAAAGGGTGGAAGTGGATCTTTGAAGAAGTGCTTGAATGACCTGAAAACAGGTGAGAGAGATGGCAGCATAGGAATAATACACTCCTTTTTGTACATTGCTTTATGTAGATACGTAGGAGCCGGAACTGCTAATAACTACATCTTTACCTCTGCGTTGTCCTTACTGGTCCTAAAGTAATAGTGAGCTACAGCTTATTAACTCAGTTCTGAACTGTAGTGATCACTAGAGAGGAATTGGCAAAGGCAGTATTAGAAACTATATAGTTTTGTAATATAAATGCTCTAACAAGTTTCTTTGAGAAGTATCTATTTAGTTTATATCCATTAAAAACAGAGAGCATATTTCAGATTAGCATTAGTAAAACTAAATATACATTCCAGCTGAAGGAAGAATTCTCAGTAATGCTGAAAGACTGCTGTGAGAAAGGGCGCTGGAAGGGATGAGGCTGAGCCTGGGCCCTCACAGTATGTCTCTTCCTATGGAGGCTTAGTGAGTTACTGCCTTCAGATGAACACCAGTATTGACGGGGTTTCCTACTGGATATTTCAGATATTTATACTCCTCTGTAGTGAATTTCTGTTATAAATGAAACTTCCAAAATTGCCCATGATATCAAAGAAGTACAAAGGGGAATTATAATTTATGCTATTTTATTGGCTGTGTGCAGTCTGTTAAGAATGTTGATATGCCTAAAAAAGTTGTCATCTTTCAAATAAAAGTGCTTTAAAGGCATAGACGAGGAGTTTATTTAAAAATCTCTTGAAAGCGTCTTTATTCTGAGTTGGGCAACTAGTGAGCTTGGAATTCCAACAGATTATTCTTGTAGCACAAGACAACTGATGGCAGGATGTCCACCTGACAACTCCAGGTCGTTAAATGCAATTTCTGAAAACAAGTAAATGGACCAAGTGTTTGTGTTGTGATTGTACTGGCTGAAAAGATTTCTTTCAGCATCAAGAGAAGCTAGAAAATACAGTATAGAGAGTTACATGAAAATAAGATTTTTTTTTTTTTTTTTTTTTTTTTGGCCTTGAAGTTAGCTTGCTATAGCTTGTTCTAGTTTATTTCCCAGAGAGACTTAATTGAAATTCTGTATTTCCTATTGGCTGACATAAAGTGGCTTCCTCTTTAACACATAGATCCTCCTCAGAGGCATCCAGCTTTCTTACTAGACATCAGAAGTTAGATGAAATTTAGGTTGTCTGGATCTTTCTTTGGTGATGTCTTTTCTTTCCTTTTAAATTACTGCAAGTCATTGGACAGGTTGTGCTTACCATACTATCACATCTACTTTCTTAGTTACAATGGGAGTCAAAAAGAGGTGCTAATTTCAAAACTTAATAAGGTGGAATCAGTTACTAGTTTCTGGTTATCAATAAAGTAGTAAGCCTTAACAATAAGGCTTAAAATAACAAGCTTTATTCATCCTATCTATCAAGCACCATAGTCAAAATAAGAAAAATCTACCGTTTCTGTATTAAACAATGTCATTGTAAGCGAAAAAAGTAGCATTTCAAAATGAAATGATTGCTTCTGCTCCTCAGTTCCTTCCTCAAACCAAGAGAATGGCTTTGAAATGAACAGAATTGATAGCCTGGGGGCAGAGAAACTCAGGTTAAGGAGAGTGTTAGGACTGGAACAGGAATTGTACTGCTGAAACTTTTCTGATTGCTCATCCCTAAAAATGTGCCAGTGGATCTCAGTGTAATAAATGTTGGTCTGTAGGTAAGAATAACATGGCTTTTGTTCATCTTTTTTGGAAGCTGCCTGAGCAAAGAGATCCTGTGAGCCTAAGTTGCAAGCTTATCAGTTAGGTTACTTCTGTAGATAGACGTGCATGTATGTGTTTTGCAAAGTTAACTGCTGCATGTTGACAGCCTATTTTTCTGAAGTCACATTAGACTTGTGTACAGAGTGTGGGCATACTAATATTTTGAAAAAAATATTTAATTGGGGAACTTCCATTGCAAATGGCAAAATTATGTGCAATGCTTTTAGCTTACCCTCTTTCAATAAGGTATTCTTTGTTGCCCTTTAAGGGTATGGTGTCTATGGCACCTATTTTCATCATTTAGAGTATTTATTAATGTGGATTTTATAGCTAGGAGCGTTGGTGTTTTATGTAATCTGTGATGAGAAAGATGATCTAACATTTTCCACAGCTACCTGACCGGAGGATACAAAGAAGACAGATTTTCTGCAGAAGTGCACGGCAATGTGACAGGAGGCACTGGGCACAAGTTGTAACATGGGAAATTCGAGTTAGATATTAGGACTTTTTTTTTTTGTTTTTAAAAACAACAACAATGATAAATACTGGAACAGGTTACCCAGAGACGTTATGGAATCTGTGTCCTTAGAGGTGTTCAGACTCAGCTGGATGTGACCCTGAGCAACCTGATCTGATTAGGTTCTGCTTTGAGCAGGGGGTTGGATTAGATGACTTACAGAAGTCCCTTCCACCCTAAATTATTCCATGATTCTATGGTTGTGGCTGTCTTAGAAGTGTGTCTTGTTTATTCTACTGCATAGAAACAGAACTATTTTTAAATATTTGCCATTTAAAGCTATATTTGGTTTTTGGCCAAACAATAAATTTTTCTCCATGTTTGGGAGCCAAAGCAAATATAAAAATATAAAATAGCAAAAATAAAAGTTGCACAGTGTTAGATTATCATTGAAATCTTGGCTGGTGGTACTATGGCACCAGATTTGGAAAATGAGAGCACTGCTGTGAACAATTTAAATGTTATAGGTGAGGTGGTGCTCACGAATAGATGGTGCTAATATATTTTCTTAAGGCATGCTTCATTTATCTAGCGCTCTGGGAGGCAGTGCTAGGTCTTGCCTTCATGCCCTCTAAAATCTTTGAAATGGTGAAAAACAAACAGTCTCAATGTAAGGCAAAAGGAATTCTCATGATGAAGCCAGATTTGCTGTAATACTGTACAGCTGTATTCACCCTCTAGTTTTGTAGGGCAGAGTTCAAGGCTTTTCACTCTATGGATAAAAACAAAAAATAGACTGTATTTGATCACGAGAAACTGTACACACTTAAAGCCCAGCAGTAGAATCATAGAATAAGTGAAAGTAACATCTTGTGTCAGTATTGCTTTTGCTGAGCCTTTAGTGAAGCAGGGAAACAGCTCAAAATGTAAGTTGCCAAGATGAATTTATTTCAAACGAAAAAATGGTTACTTTATTTCATTTGTGCTTCCTTCTTGAAGTTTGTTGCTAAATCAGCACCTCGGGGTTACTTCTGAATGTGTTAATTACTAGTTAGTAAATTATCAGCCAGCTACTGACATATCTTCTTAAATTGGAGAGAGAGAGATAGAGTGCTCTTCAGCTGAAGATACTTTATTTGACAGGGCCAAGATATATTTTGGGGTTTGGGTAGAAACAGAAAAGAGCCAGTTAATTCACATTCCAGTCACCTCATCACCCAAGTTCTCTCATGTTCCTTGAAACAGAGGAAAATCAAAACAGCTGGCAATTTTAACTAACTCCACATCTATTGTTACCAACAATATGGTAACAATATAATGGGCATAGGACACAGAATTTCAAAGACTTTAATTCTGTCTTACTGAAACAAAATTTTTTTGTTTGTTCATTTGGGAAGTAAACTCTCAGGTGGTTTTATTTGCTTTTATACGTTGCAAATACTACTGTCCCCAACACTGGGGGCAAATACTGGTTTAATGCAACTAGCCCAGTGAACCATTTCTTTTTATCTCCTTCTCTCCAGTTACTAAATAGCAAAGGAATTGTATAAATCTATTTTTAGTAGTTACTGTTTGGCCTTTTCGGACTGCTTTGCAATGTTGATTTCTTAGGGGGATGTTAAACCTAAACCAAAGGGCTTTCACTGAACTTCTGCTGTGAAAGTAGAAATTGAAAATTGAACCTCTCTGTCTTGCAGCTAAATATGAACCATTAGTTAGAACTAGCTGGTATGAATAAGAGATGGTAGCAGTGCTTTTGAATTCTCCTCTTTCTTCCTCTGTTACTCCATGATTAATTAAAGTGATAAGAAAAAGAAGATACTTCACATAATCCCCAGTGGGTCCAAAGCTTGAATAACAAGTGTCCAGCTGAATGTTTTATCTATTATTTTCTGTAACTGCTTTCACATTTTAAAGATGTGAATTTCAGTTAGGTAATTTAGAGTTAAATTTTTCTAAAGTTTCAATGTTTATTTGCTCTTGGCTCCTGTTGCCTATACGTGACCACTTATTTTTTCCAACTAGCCAAACTATGGTGCTCCCAGCTGGATTCTTCAGACCATTTGCAGCTATTTTCTTCTTTCTGAAGAGTTATCGGTGGCTGGTTCCCTTATGATGCAGCTGATTCATTAAGCTGTCTTTAAAAGTTTTTCCCCTTGTAGGCAAAGAGTCCTTTCCCTGGAGTGATTCCAATACTGCAAGTGATCTGATGCACTTAACGTAGTGCTTTTAGTTCAGATATACTGTGCGCAGTTTGTCCTGCTGGTATTGGCCATCAGTTGGCTTTTGTTGAAGAGAATACTTGCAGATCAGTGTGGAATTTCTGTTGGCAGGCATGGAGGGAAAGATTGTTTTTCAGAGGTGGCTATGGGTCCCAGAATCTTCCATTTGGAGATGGCCTCAATGTAAAAGAATTACTCTACAAATGCAAATACTTAAGACCAGAGTTTCAATAACACATGCCAAAAGCTGATACAAGTGAATGTGAGTTAGGAAAAATCAATCTTGCCTTGCTCTGTGCCTGCAAGTTTTCTTTCCTGTTTGTAAGGTGTTTTCAGAATCTCTTTACACTGGAATTAGAGGGTGCCTAGTTTACCATTTGACTCTTTCATCAAGGAGACGGGGGGAAAAAGGGTATTCCAAAATCATAAAATGACAAAGTTATTTTCTCAAAATCAAATGCATTCTTATCACAATATCATAGCAGTTAAGTTCGATCATGTTTAATACATATTTATCTGAGTGTTGGCCAGGATAGAGCTATTACTCAGAATGGGAATGCCTGCTTACCCTGTTAGTTGTTTAAAATACTGTGAGATCA